GTTCCTTTTGGGGGGCTCCCCCATAATTTTTCGGGGGGGGGGGCGATTTTTTTTGGGGCGTGTTTTTTTTTTTTTTAACGGGGCCTTCCCTTTTTTTTTGAGGGAGGCTTTTTTTTTGGGGGGGGGGGGTTTTTCCCCCCCCCCCCCCCCCAAAAAAAAAAATTCCCCTTCCCCCCTTTCCCCCCTACTTGCATCCCTCCCTCCCTCCCTCCCTCCCTCCCTCTTCCCCGAGCCCAGCCATGAGGGGTGGTGTGTGGACCCCCCCCGCCCCCCCCCCCCAAACCCTCCGTCACGTGTGTGAACCCCCCCCCCCCTTCACCCACCCACCCGCCCACCCCACGCGCGTGCGCTGTCGCACATAGGCACCTCCCAGGCCAAGAGACGGGCAACGTGCGCCACGTGCTCTCCAACGGATTTGGCGCTTACTCGCGCAACCCGCGCACTATCGCGGCGACCGTCTCTCGCTGGCTCTCGTCGCCCTCAGAGCTGCAGACGCTGTCGCGCAACGCTCGGGCAGCGTCGCGACCGGGCGCGACGGCCGACATCGTGCGGGACGTGTTGCGGCTGCTGGAGGATCGACTCGAGGAGGGCGGGCAGGGGGCGGTGGATGCATGAGGCATGAGCGGGAAAAGCCGTGACGAGCATCTGACGAGCATCCGGGCGCCCCAATATCTATTAAGGGAAGGGGGGGATGCGACCTCGGCGGCCACGCGCGGGGCATACCTTCGAGTTATTATATTTTTGTTCACAAGTTTTTCTTTTGGAATCGTCGCGCGGAGAGGAGCCCGGGGCGAGCGCTGTCCTGGGCCTATCGGCATGGACGTGCCGGCTGGCCCTCATTTCCTCGAGAGCGAGTGGGTGATCTGGGAGCACCGCGCGCCCGACAAGAACAAGTCCTATGAGGACAACATGGCGAAGTTGTGCGAGGCGCGGCCTGCACTCCCGCTGCGCCGTCAGCTCGCCCCTCTCTCGGGAACGCTGAGACGGAATCGCCCTCCCAGGTGGCAACAGTGGAGGACTTTTGGCGCGCGTGGAACAATATCCCGAAGCCCTCAGAGATCTTCTACGACGGCAGGACGCGCAAGAAGTTCGCGTCGCGCACCGTCGAGGCGTTCTCCGTCTTCAAGAAAAACATCAAGCCGGAGTGGGAGGACCCCGCGAACCGGTCTGGAGCGGAGTGGTACTGCCGAAGGGCCTTCACGATGCCACAGCTCGACGAGTTCTGGCTCCACATCGTCCTGGGCATGATTGGAGAGACGCTTGACGCCGGCGACGAAATTTGCGGCGCGCGCGTGGTCGACAAGTCGGTCAACGGGCGGACGATGTACCGGCTAGAGCTGTGGTTCCGCAAGAACGACGACGCTCTCTCCAAGGAGCTGCTCGCCAAGATGCAGGAGGCGTTGGGCAAGGGCGCGCAGACTTGCAAGTGGGACCTGCGTTCGCACTAGAGCAGACGAGCTTCTCCTTCTCTGCACTTTATGCTGCTGAGCCCAGCCTGCCGCTCTCGCGCCTCAGGGTGCCGCACGCCGGTTAGTGCAGGCGCGGCTTTTTCTGTACGGTAAAGGTTTTCGGTATACATGTAGCCTCTCCCGGTGAACGGGCGGCTTCTCGCGCGGCGGCCCCGCGCGCGCGCGCCCCGGGCCCGGGGCGCCCGCGGCGCCGCGCGCCGGGTCGGGGTGAGTTGACGCAGTTGTGTGTTTGAGCGCGGGGTGAGGTCTGGGGAGTGGCAGTGGGGTAGCGTCTGTAGAGACGAGTACGTCGGCCGACGCTGCCGTGTGTTGGTCTCTCTCGGTGGGGGTGGTGTGGTGCGTGTGCCGTGCGGGGTGGTGCGCGCGCGCGGGGCGCGGCAGACGAGAGAGCGGTGCAGAGCGTGGCCCGAGCGGACGCTTCGTGCAGGACTGATGGGGGCGGCGGCGACGCGGCAGCGGCAGCGGCAGCGGCGCGCGGGCGGGGGCGGCGGAGGGGCGGGCGGCGGCAGCGGCGGGGGCTGCCTTCCACCCGTAGCTCAAGGCTGGGGTTTT